CAAACTAACTTAAATTTAATACATATAATAGTCACCAGAATGATGAGTAAATTTTGTAACAAAATTTTTGTTTGCAGTAGCTTACAATAGAATAATAATAATTCTTAACTCATTTTATTAGAATATTGAATAAATTCTATAACAAAATTTATTTAGTAGCTTATGAATAAATTATATTAATTTAAATATAAACCAAACCAACTTACTTTAAATATCTATTGTGGTTACTAGAATTAAGTAAGTTTTACAACAAAATCCTAAGACAAACTACTCAAACTTAATCATATATTATAGTCACTAGGTAACGAGTAAGTTTTGTAATGAAATTTTTATCATAATTTATAATAAAAAATCATTTCAATACAAACTAACTCAATTTTAGCTACATATTATAGTTACTAAAATAGCAAGTAAGTTCTGTAAACTAACTCACCTTAATTACATATTGTGGTTACTAAAATATATAACAAGTTCTGTAATGGAATTTTTTAGTAACTTATATAAAAAACATATTAATTTTAATGTATACTAACTCAAACTAATCTATATGCTGTAATTATTGAAATAGTAAGTACTAGAGATGTACCGTATGCATTATGCAAACGATGTTGCATGCTACATAATGCTGCATAATGCAATACAAGTTGTCTAAAATTTAAAAATACACATAAGCTATTATGTAATTTTGATCTATGTTATTTTTATTAACAATCACTTATAAACACTTGTTTCTATCAAAGTAAAAATTAATTTACAAGATTAATTTTCACTATAAATCTAATAGTTTATATTTTCAAATCTGGCAACCTCTTAGTAATAATACAAAATCTGCTCACTGCATATAGATTTTGAGAGGTCCACAGTATATTATACAGAATTACATAATATATCATACAACATAATGTTGCATTATGTAATACAAAGCCAAAAAAACTTGCATTTGCACATTTCTAGTAAGTACTATAACAGAATTTTTTACAACAAAAAATAATAAATAATTATAATATAGAATAGAAAGACAATATAGAATAGTTAATTAGAAGTAAAATAAATTAAACAAAAAAATAAGACAAAAATTTAGCTACTTAATTGTGATAAAGAAGATTGAATAATAAAAATTTTATATATAATCTAAGTGTATAAAAAATCTTGTCTAAAAAATTTGTACTAATATTATACTACAAAATAACAAATAGTGTGTAAAGACTACAAAAAAACACTAAACAATTTCTCATTATCACCAATACAAGGCTCTATCTGTTTTGTTATAAATTATAATATAAAATCAAATTATGCTATACTTAATATATGATACAATATATCTCTTAAACCATCTAGTAGCCAAATTTGACTGCTAAAATTTTTTTTGATTTTGTGTGATTGTATTTGATTTTTCTAAGCAATAGTACTCCTTTTCCTAAGCTCGAATTAAAGTTTGCTATTTTGCAGACCATGTTGTGATTTCATACCACGTAATAGTAGTACATATTATTATAATTATGTATTAGTAGTACAGCAATTATCTTTTGATCACTATCAATTAAAATCAAAAAAAGAAAAAAATAAAATAAAAAAAATAAAAAAAAAATTTACAACTATGCCAAAGGCAAGTTTATTCTTGTATTTACTTCTACTTGAAAAAAATACCAAAATATTTTCTGATAGTGAGGACAAAGAGTACATACTAGTTCTGATATCTCAATAATATTTCTTAAACTATCCAGGGTTAAATAATGAAAAAGATAATGAAATTGTTGAAAGTAGTAGTAAAAAGAACTACAAACAATCAAAAAACATACTTAAATTGCCACTACTATCTACAAATTTTAAATTATTGATTCATTCAAAAAATCTATACCAGGCATTTATTAATTTGCCACCAAATTATAAAGTTAGTTTCTTAAAGCTGATTAACTTTTTTTTTTTTTTTTTTTTATAAACATTTTACTGAACAAAATTGTCCTCAATACAAATTTATATGCATTAATTAAAGGTGCTGGTCTTGCTAAAAGACAATAGAAAAACATAGATCATAAAAAGCTCTTTATCTGTATTGCTCTTGTTATTTACCAGGGTTTTTGGGCTATTTTCACTTGATAATTACTGAAATAAGAATCTAAAGCTTCTTATTTACCATATTGCTAAACAAATACTACTAAAATATTTTAAACAAATCAAAAGGTACCTTTATATCTCTTTCACTATAGCAGATATTAATGAAAAATTAGAGCTACTGCTTTCTTACATCTAAGATGTTTTTAAACAACTTTATACACCAACTTTAAATATCTCGGTTAATAAAATAATAATAAGATTTTTTGACAAAAGCATTTATACTATTCGAATTAAAAACAAACCAATCCCAAAGAGGTTTAAAGTGTTGTCACTTTGTGATTTCAAATATATATTTACTTTTTTATCTATATTGCATGTCTTTTCAAGTAATATAAAAAAAGTAAAAGGGCTTAACCAAACTAGTTATATAGTCTATCATCTTGTTATACAACTTCTATATCATTGATTCATATTTAATATTTATATAGATAACTACTTTTCTAATGTTTTTTTTTTTCAAAATCTTTGGCAAGTTGGTATTGGCACTTGTAGTACTGTTTAAACAACAATATCTAGATTCTCTAAGGAACTAAAGGTGAATAAAAACTTTAACTTGACTAGGATGTATATTTTGGCATTGTAGTAAATGAGTATTGGCTATGTTTTGGCAGAACAATAATTTGGACACAATGTTGTCAACAATTCATGATCTTGTTGGTGAATATTGGGAAGTTGAATATGAAAGATGGTAGCCAAGAGAAACAAGCACCAATACAACAAAAGTGTGTGTGGTATTTGGGTTTCAACCAAAAAAAAAAGCTAAAAATTTCCAGGATAATAGACAATTACAACTATTACATAAATGATATAGATATTGTAGATCAACTACGGCCATATTACTATATGCAATAAGTAGTATGAAGAAACTGGATACTATTTTTTTTTGGTTGTTAGATACTGCTATTATTAATGTATATCATATTGCCCAAATTCTAGGATCTACTTAAGAGCATAAAGACTTTCATCTTGAACTAGTATGGGATCTCATAAATAATATAAATAGTAAAGAGGAAATTTAGCTTAAAGGTGGGTCAAAAAAAAAAAAAAAGAAACAAATAAAGAAATAAAAAAAGAAACCAAATAGCCAAAAGTAACAAAACACTTCAAACTTTTAAACTAATAGTTTGCTCCTAGTAACTATTTAGTTGAGTGGTGAAAGCAAGAATCATGCCAATAGTATGTGTGATTGGCAAGTAAGAAAAAATTAGATTTAGATCATAAGACTTCACATTGAAATAATCTTTGGTATTTCATATATAATGTACTACTCTGTTGTAATAACTCTCAAAATTGTTTTTTAGAGTTCTATAAAAAATAAAATGGAACATTAAAAATCTGCAGGGATGGGAAATATTTCTGCAATAAATAATCTTGCAGATTGTTATTGTGATGGAATAGGAATTGAAAAGAATTAACATAAGGCACTTATTAATTATTAAAAATTTGGTAAGTTGAGTGATATTAGTAAAATATTTCAAGTTGGTTGTTGTTATCAAAATGGGAATTGGAATATAATTTTTAGATGCTCATTTTATAATAAAAAGCATTTCATTAATTTGACTGTTTGAATTTTTTTTTTTTTATTGTAATATATTGTAGTTAATTTCATCACCCTAATCATTTTGAAAAAAAAAATTTATTATGGATAAGTCCCCGCATTTCATATGGTTATTTCGTCAAAGTCTGTACTACTTATATTTAAATTTTCAAAGCGATCTAGAAGCTTTAACCCGAAAAAATACTCTTTAATAAAAACGTACCATTTTCTGGGTAATTTGGGTTTACGCCTTTCGTTTGCGTCACATGATATGTGCAATGACGTACAGTTCCACAATCACATGATCCGGGTTCCCGTGAGTTACCCTAACCAATTTCAACTCGTCTTCCAATAAAAAAATTCTAAGGTTTACCTTTTTACAAATTATTTTAGCGGGCAAATTTGCCCGCTAAACCCGGACGGTTTAAGGGATAATACAATACGATATCTATTCTATATAAGCGCGAATATAATGAACCTAAAATGAAATATGTCATAAACCAATTACTTTAAATACATGAATTAATAATATTTAATTTTGACAATTAAATTAATTTCAACAGTTGAATTAATTTCAACGGTGGAATTAATTTAAGCTATTAAAAATAATTTCGGTTTCAACCGTTGAATTTAATTTCAACTGTTGAAATATCATAAAATTAAATTTTAATTTCAATATTCAGACTTTATTTAGTAATATATAGAGTGTTTTATTAGGAATAATAGGATCTAATGTATGCGTAACAATAAATTATTATAACTTTTATACCTATAACAATAAAAAAAAAAAAAAAAGATCTCTAAATATCTATCAAATTATCATGATTTGTTCTTATAAGTTGTTATAAACGGTTACGATTAACTAACAATAATTTTTTCCCGTACGTACGTACGTACATACTTTTTTTTTTTTTAGCTTATATATGTTACCTACGTACTAGGTATATATTTGATAAATATGTGCATTATTTTAAAGCATACTAATGCATATTGGGAAATTGTATTTATTAATAATCTAAATTTCTATAAAGTGGAATATTTATGAATTTAGAAAAAATTTTTACTGTGTTTTTACAGTAACAATTTTAAGACATAATAATAATGTTTTCTATAGTGCAGATGGCTGCTAATAATAATAATAACAAAAGAAAAATAATAAATTAGTCAGAAATCGAATAAACGAAACGACAAAGGAGGCTATATTTAGTGTAAAAAAAACAAGTTAGTAAAAGAAATATACTTTTTGAAAGAAATCAATAAAAATAATAAAGGCATAATGAATATAATATATTTGTATGAGCGCAAAAACAATATCCAAATGATAAAAAGGGATAAAAAAAACCTTGTATTAGACAAGAAAATGAGTTTGTTGGTAATTAGGTAAAATAATCTGAGATGAGTCAGTAAGCGGTACGTCAGGAAAAACATAATTATTAGGAGGATATAATAAGAAATCTGTATTCATAGGAACAGCATTCGCACAGTTATTAATCTGAACATAATCCAAGGTAGTTGTCACTGTAGGATTAATTTGATTTTCCATCATATTAAGGTTGACATTTGGTGGTGTACCGATTTGGTTATAACCTAACATATCATGCGAAATATTCGAATCAAAATTAGGTAAAGGTTGATGATTATGAAGAGATTGATAATTATTGAACATAAAATTATTTGCATTTTGCGGATGAAACGACGATTGAACATTTAAATCGTATCCATTTTCGTGTAAGAAAAGTTCTGTATTTTCATGATAATTTGTTTTTTGTAAGTAGTCAATCATAAACGAAACATCCATTGGTGTTGTGTAAGTGCTAGTTAACTGTATCTGTGACATCGGATCAGATGTTCTGTTCGAGCGATTCGAATTTGGGCTTTGTCGAGGTCGAGAACGCTGTCGTTGGTTGGTTCGTTGTTTAAGACGAAATTTTTGAGAGTGATTTGGCGATCTTTGGTATGCATGGTGTGAATGTGAATACTGAACTGGTTGACGCGTAAAACTTGGTTGACATAGGTCGTGTGAAGGATACCAATTTGATTGAAATATCTGATTTTGAGAGTTAATGCGAGGATATTCTTCAATAAGATGGATCGAACCAACGTAATTTTGTTTTTGAGTTTGATCAACCATTTTTATCGTTCAATTATTGAAAACTCTAGCGTAATTTGGAATCTGAAAGAAAACCTTGACAAATGCAGTAGCAAAAAATTCTCGTTGCTCTTTTTATATATAGCCACATCCATTCCGAGCATATGATATTTCAATGGATCAAGATTACCTTTAAAACTTTCATTTCATATTGATAACATGGTTATTTAGCCACCATTTAGGTGAGGACGCGAAATTAAAATTAAAATGCAGATTGCAGGGTTCTCTTATTTGATGCACGAATGAAATCTTTTCAATTATCATCTGCTAGTAATTAAAAATAAGTTTTAATAAATCGATTAAAATGATTTTGGCTCACAATTATATCATTGCACAAGAAGTGAATCGTTCATAGTTGACGCTATCGCGTGAATTACAAAAAAAAAAAAAAACTTTAAATTCCTTGAATTTTTATTTTGTGCACGTACGTACGTCCAACATTTACTGTTATGTCTTACATGTAAAACACACATGGTTCATCTCTTGAATATTTGAACATCAATGAATTTTAATCACGTGTGTTCAAAATTTAATTAAATGCATCGGAATCGCGGGACTCTACATTAGAAAAGTTGATTCGCATCAACTAGTCAACATATCATAACAACTATGAATAGTATGAATAGTATGAATGTTCTCAAATTCTTTTTATTCAATAAATGATTAAAAAAATTTTTTAACAACAACCAGACAATTAGCTAAATTTGTATATCAAAAGTCAATACTTCCCAGAATGTGCTATTCACCATTCAAGCATTCATATAAAAGTAGGTTAAATGGAAGCCTAACCAGTAATCTATAAATCGTTAATTTTTGGTGCCATCCATGTGTACACTTTAAAACAATAAAATTAATTCATTAGATCATAAGTCGTACCATTCAAAGAGAATCTTATGGATGCTTTAATTAGAATACGTAATATGCAACGAATCCAGATCTTTACATATTGATGTAGTTTTAATGTGTTTAACACTAGTAAAGAAAGTACGAGTATGTGTATACACGTCACACGTACTACATACACTTTTTTTTTTACTAATTGATGAGAATACGCACAGAAATTTTCAACACGCCGTACTACATAAGCTTTTTTTTTTTTTTTTTTTACTAATTGATTACAAATATAAGAACCATGTGACTATAGATGCTGGTGAAATATGGTGAAATGTGGTGAAATAATTTCACCACTATTGGTGAAATTGGTGGTGAATTGGTGGAATTGGTGAAATTAATTTCACCAGCATCTGTACTTGTGACCGTTTTTATCCGAAAGTGTTAACTCTGTCAAATTCTGCTTAGTTAAAATTTTATTACTATTAAACAATCATATTCGCAGGTTTAGTCCAGCCAATTCTAGTACGATCTGGTCTGTATTTTCGATTCTAATGCTGTGCAGTTATTATTATAATCTGAATCAGCTGTCTTATTAACCGGTCAGGTCCGATCTAGCACATTAATCCAAATAATTGGCATGATTTTTTCCTAGTAATGCAAATTTATTTGAATAATAGCTCCACAATTTATTGTCGGCTTGTTCAATTGCACTAAGTAAAAAATGTAGCATGGGTTAGTCTTTTATTTAATTTATTTTTTTCTGCAGCCGTTATAACATTAAAGAAGCTTAAACAAAAATTATACACATGACTTGTCACATGATTATGTCATAAGTTCGTTCGTTTAATGATTATGGATTGGCAATAACTATAAACGTAAGGACAACAGTTAACGTTAATAAACGTCGGTTAGTTCGGCAGTTAATAGATCACCCAAATTTTTTCTGCGATTTCTCTTAGATAAGTAAACTAATTATTCGCCGAAACTGGCGGGTAACCAAAAAAGGAAATTAAAATTTTGTAAGTGCATAAAATAGAAGTTTAGGATTAGGACGTTAGAGTTGTGCGCTTTAGCTTTTTAGAGGTTTGTATTATCCGCACAAATAAGTGGATGCACTTAAGGCGTGATTATATTATAAGTTGCTAATAATGGCATAAGTGCTAACGCTAAATTTTTTTAATAGTAGAGTAATTGGTGCATTCTAGTGTTCAAATTTAGGCTTTGGAACTCAATGGCAAAATATATCTCAGCTGATTATGTTTAATTCCCAGTTATACTTTGGATAACGTAAACAGCATTGCGGGATAATCAAACTATATAAATATATATTATAGTCAGGGTTGGCCAAATTACTGGTCAACCAAAAATTTATTAGTCAAACTGGTTCAGTCAAATTGGTCAAATGGTCCAGTTTATTAATTAAATAAATTTAGTAATATGGGGGTGAGTCAATAGAAATGCACCAAATTTTTTCTAAGTAAATTTTTTTAAAACTTTAAACAAAAATAACTTAACAATAATTTAATCAAATTTAATAAAAATTTTTTTAAAATAATTCTAATAACTTATAGAAATAATTTAAAAAAAAATTTACTAGATTTGATCAAGTTTTTGTTGAGTTATATTTGTTTAAAATTTAAAAAAATTTCATTAAAAAAGATTTGGTGCGTTTCTATTGACTCACCCCCATATATAAAAAATTTTTTTTAAAAAATTTTCAAAATATGATCTAGCCAAGTTATAAAAAAACAAATAATTAAGTTTATATAGCCTTACATCTAGTGTATAAAATTTTAAATATAAATACTGACTGCTCTTATAAGAAAAAAACAATAGCTATAGATATTTTTACTTAATTATTTATATTTTCACTTAATAATTATAAAAAAAAAAAAGAAACAATATCAACTTTAATTTAAAGTATTATATAATCAATATAACTATTTTTATATTAAAATTTTTTTGATTTTTGAATATATTATATTTAGCTTTTAACTTTGTATATTAATATTATATTAGTTATACAATTTGTTATATATATATTATATATAAATTTTTTTTTAATTTTAAAATAAAGCTTCGCTTATATCTTTATTTAATAATTTATATAAATAATTATATAGAATATAAAACTATATAAAAATTCAATTTGTATAATAACAAATAAATATAAATTATATACAAAAATAAAAGCTTAGATAGTTTATTATTTACAATTTAAATTTACTAAAGTGGCCAAAACTCATCTAGATTTGGAAACTTTATACAATCTAAATAAGTCTTAAATGAATATAAAGTTTTATAGTAATACTATAAGATATATAAAAAGTAAGTTGTTTGTAGTATAAAAAAATTTAATATGAGTTAATAGTTATAAGTATAATAAAGTTAAAAAGAAATTATAATAAAGTTAAAATAAAAATAATAATATAAATTAAATAGTAATAATAGTAAAAAAGAAGTTAAACAGAACTCTTTTAAACAATTATCTGTATCAAAATTTTCTAAAAAACTTTTATTAAGAAAAAAATATAAATGCTCGAAGAAGCTTATAAGATGCAAGAAGAGAGGCCATAGAACAGCAGCTATTATTTAGAGGTAGTTTTTATATACTACCTGCTAATAGCTTTAGAGTTTATTACTTATTGCAGGCATAGCACTTGTCATTTAGAAATAGTTCTTATATACTATTTGTTAACAAGTTTAGAGTTTATCACTTATCGAAAAAACCTAGTACTGTGCATAGCAGTAGGACTGATAGTAATTTTAATAAAAAAATATACACTCCTTTGTATTAGTATAAATATTTACTCCTTTTTCTTGCCTTTTGCCAACTTCAATAAAACTTTCAAAAAAAGTAGGTAATTTAGCTTACCCTCTTCAAAAGATCAGCATTGTTTATATTATCTAATTCAGATAAACTTAGTAGAATACAACTATGTATTTGTTTTGTTTATCAATGCAGTACTATAATGCGAGAAAGAGACTTGTACTCTCATTTAGAAGATACCCAATTCTGGTAATATGTTCAGAATGAGTATATAATGATAAAGTAAAACTTTACAAGCAAGATATATTAATTAGTTGCAATTAATATATAATTTTTTAGGCTTTGGCACAAGCATAAATGTGTTATTAATTCTGTTTTTTTTTTTGTTCTGTTTTCTTTTTTTGACATCTGTGGTTTCTTTTTTTCTTGCTTTTTTTTTTGTTTTTTCTTTTTCTTTAGTTTTTGTCATATTTCTTTTATAAATTTTCTTCTTTTTTGTCTCATGCCTCTTGAGAAAAAAGAAAAATTAGAAGAAAAAATAGGCAGTCTTGACAAGGCTAGCAATTGCTATCTACAGATCCAGAGAAGTACTTTCAAGAAGTTGAGAGTTGAAGAGGAGAAGAATAGTTGCTGTAGCAGATCGCATCTGGGCACCTTAAAACAGCCAGGTAAGTTTTTATTGTAGAAAAAGAAGGGTTGAAAGCAATAGTTTAAAATCTTGTATAATATTATATGTATTCTTTATTTAATAAAAGCAGGATTGCCAAAAAAAAAAAAATAATAAAATTAAAGAAAAATTATAAATAATAATTATTAAAAAAAAATAAAAAGAATATTTAGTATATGTAGTCAGTATCTGTTATCACAGTATACTGGGTCTGACATTTTTACTAGTGAAATTAAACACACAACTTTGCAGTATTATGTATTCTAACTACTAAACTACTACAGTATAGTGTATATAGTAAAATTTCAAAATTATATTTTTTGAAGATCTGTTTTGTTAATAATCATCTAATAGATTTTATTAATTTGTTCTCATGTTTTGATAATTGTAATTTAAATATAGATTAAGGTTTGTACTACAAAGAAACCTCTCTAAATACACCCCTTGGGATTATAGTAAAAAATCTCAAAAATAAGCACTTAAAGAGGGTGTGTATTTATAAAGAGCAAAATATATAATGCTATTAGAGAACTATCACTTATTACATAATTATAGCCCTCTTCTCTGGGCCAAAATTAACTCCTAGAGTACCAGAGTTAGTAAATTGTTAGCCCAGATTTGAGAGAGGCTATAATTACGTAATAAGTGATAGTCCTCTTATAAGCTAGAACTAAAATAAACTATATATTTAAAGAGATTTTACATAGAAAG